TCTGCGATCCAGCCTCCTCTGTGGCACCAGTGAAGCGGGCAGACAAGTGTGAGCAGACAGATCTGCTGCCTGAACTGTCGCCTTCCCTAACCGTGGTCACAAAACAGGCGCTGCAGAGTCAGCCCAGTCTCGAACTGACAACCGTAAGTTTGACTCACCTCTCGAACTGGGCGGTTCTTCATTTAATCTAGTGAATAGGAACTGCAGCGGGTTTCTTGTACAAAAATAACCTACTGGGCTTTATCACAATTATCACCCTGAAATGCAGCATTTGTTGTATTTCTTACGTACTGGAGTACGCTTTAGGAGAAGAGGGTGGTTTTTATCACGGTGATTTTTGATGAATCCTCCGAGAACTGAAAAATACAATTCATTTAAGAAAATTGATGGATTTTAAGAGGTTGAATATCATTGAGATTAAAAGCTTCAAACTTCTTATATATAAAAGAATTTTACCGATAAATTTGATACACATGGTTTTGCGGTACTATAGGCTAGATCGTAAAGCATTTGACTAAAACCTTATATACTTAAGATTTAGATTTGTGATTCGGCATTCTTATGGACGGGGCTTTTCAGTAATTTAACTGTTTATACTGTGAAGATTGTTGGTTTATGACAGGTAAACTCTTTTCAAAACTGTATTTTCCATCATCAGATCCAGTAACATTTTGTGATTGAGGCTTTATCACGTGTCTGACAATACTCGCAATATTCCCAAATTTCACATCCCACCTTCACGAAGGGTTCTTCAGCCACCGTTCCCCCGTTGGAAATGTGTCTGTTTAAACCTTTCTTTCGGGGTGGATTTGTAATTTGGCATCCTTATGGACGGGACCCTATAGGAATTTAACTACGAATTCCATCAAAATTGTTGACTCATGACAGGCAAATTGTTTTTGAAACTGTATTTTCCATCGTCAGTTCTAGTAACTTATCTGACTAAGGCTGTGTCAGAGGTCTGCCAGTACTCACACTAATCCGTAACGTTACTTTCCACAGCAGTCAATTATATAGAAGTTAATGCGGAAAATATTCCTCATAAGGTCCTTTAGCCGCCGTTTTCCCGTTTGAAAAGTGTCTACTCAAACCTGAAATCATATTTTATAGTGAGAAGTAGAATACTAAAGTTCGTTTTTGGATCGGCCTGGTTGCATACAGTCCTTAAAACCCTGCTCTATAAAAAGGCAATTTTCGGTTTCCTGAAAATTTATCACGAATTTTGTGCGGTCATATACCTACTATGCGCACAGGGGCTCATGAGGCGGAAAATGTCTGAGTGACGTTGAGAGCCTTTCAGTTTGTATCAGTGTTTGTTTCTTTTTTCGAATAAACGAACAAACATCATACTTATACACGTCCTATCAACAAATCAAATTTCAGTTTTTTGGGAACAGGACACACTTGTCCTATGTGATTACGTATTGTAAAACTTTGTTTGCAGAAATCATCTGATGTACTTGCCGGATAGGTCTGTGCTCTCTGCGGCAATTTTTATAATCACATAAATTACGTCTTTTAAGGGAAATATACACATAGCTATTCGTCTCATATACGCTCAAATCCACTTGAATTTACTCGAAGCTGTTTACGTAACATTGTCTTTGGTTGAATAGATCTAAGCCAATCATAGCAACTTCTGTTTAAGCTTAGTGTTCCGCGTTAACTAATATAGTCGGGTCTACAAATTAAAAAGAAGAAATTATAGGAACACATTTTTGCTAACCTAATCATGGGGTGAAATATTGTTGCCCATTTTCTGCCTTGTCATACACTGACCAAACACGGGCGTGGCCATTTTATATGGATATGTGACTCACGTAGGCTGCTCTAATTACGACAGACGCAATTTCGCATGCAGGCGTTGCCCTCAAGACAAACATCCATCCATCTCTTTTTTTAAAGCTTACCAGGCAAAATACTAAGTTTTAGAAAAATATGCTTACTTGCA